ATGTCATAAATATGATTTAATGTGTCAGCACAATGCTGCTTTTAATCACATTCTTTTACTGATATTGCGTGTAAGCTAAAAGAGAGAGTTAGCTGAAGTAGACTGTTTATCACTGTGGGGAACTCAGGTTATGGTGACAACCAAGGAACATGATCTGGGTGAGCCAGGATTCAAACCAACGATCATGTTTCCAGCATGTGCAAGGGAGGCAACTCTGTACAGCAAATTGCAGCATCTTCAATAACTGAGCCACCATTGCCCTTGCAAAAGAAATGCTTCTGACTCTTTAACCATTATCAGCTGAAGTCAACATTCTAATTATTTTATCAGCTGAAGTGAACACTTTAATCATTATCAGCTGAAGTCAACACTTTAATTATTATCAGCTGAAGTCAACATTTACATTATCATCTAAATTCAACACTTTAATTATTAACAGCTTAAGTCTTCACTTTAACTATTATCAGCTGAAGTGAACACTTTAATTATTATCTGCTGAAGTCAACACTTAAAATTATCATCTAAATTCAACACTTTAATTATTAACAGCTGAAGTCTTCACTTTAACTATTATCAGCTGAAGTCAACACTTTAATTATTATCAGCTGAAGTCTTCACTTTAACTATTATCAGCTGAAGTCAACACTTTAATTATTATAAGCTGAAGTCTACACTTTAATTAATATCAGCTGAAGATAACACATTACATTGCAAGTGAGATTCATTTAGATGACTGGGCAAGTCAAAATACACAAAATTTGCAATGTTTGAATCAAACACAAACATACACCTGAAAAAGGTTAAGCATCACCCCTTCTTCAATACCATTTTTTCAAACTTCCATATATTGCTGCATCATCTGCAATACTTCCTTGGCAGTTGGTACAAGAGTACTGCATGTTCCTCAAGACGAACAGGTTTTATTATATAGGTAGTATTTTTCCTGTACCAAGATTGGTCAAAATACCGTCACAAAACCTGATATTGACTTGAGTTTTCTGATAAATTACGATATTGACTTGGGTTACTAAAAATAGACAAGGAATCCCGTACGAAGGGGCTTCCCCCGCTTTTCAGCCAATCAGATCACTGATAGATGGCACAGTGTGTGCATTAAAAGTTTATGGATTAGACTCTAGTAGAGGTCGATATCGGTTTTATTGACCTGAAAAACAATATCCACCTTCAGTCAATCAGGTAGCCTTCGAGGCAGTGGAAGGGATTGCCAGATAAACATGTTCACAAATAGGTAACAGAGCATCTCATCCAGCAAACAGATTTCAGTTTCATTTAATAGTTTCTTTTGTCAACAAAATATATATGGGTTTGTCTTACCAGAAAAGAAAAGATTCACCAAATGACTGTTTTACATGAAAATATGTTTTTCCATGTGTATGTGAAGGCGTTGCATCTTTGACAGTCTGAGAAGGACGTATTGTTGCCCAAGAATCAGATGGTTTTTATTTTCATGCTCAACCGAAAATTATGTTTTAGCATTTCTCTAATGGATGTTCTTTTCATGCATCCCCTTTGTCTCAATAGTAACCTTTTCAGTGGCTGTCAATGGTTCTGAGTCATTAAATATCAATGAGAACACTCTCATTTGTGAAACTGCTATTTGAGGGAGTTAGTGAGTGAGTTTGGTTTTATGTCGCTTTTAGCAATATTCCAGCAATGTCACGGCAGGGGACACCAGAAATGGGCTTCACACATTGTACCCATGAGGGGAATCGAACCCGGGTCTTCAGCATGATGAGCGAACACCTTAACCACTAGGCACCCTACCACCCCCTGCTATTTGAGGGACAGCACTGAAACATTCACTGCTTATGTCTCTAAAACTTCATTTGACTTTATCATAGTTTTGAGACCAAATTCGGAGGTAAGTAAATGACTCGGTGCGATATCAGTTCTTCAGTTATATCACTGAATATCTTCGATTTAAACCCATGGTCAGATCCTGGCATGCCCAAGGGACGTAACTCTGCACATACTCAGACAACAAGGTCAGATATGTCATACAGATGGAGGAGGAGATGCCAGCAAAATCTTAAATTAGGTTTAAAGATTTCAAGCATTTGAAGACTGAATGAGAGAACGTGAGTGAACAATTTTAATTTCCCCATAAAATCATATTTTAATTAAAATATTTCACAAATCAACTACAGGTACATTTATGAAGATATAAACAAAAATCATAATAAACTGCATATTCATTTCAATAATAACAGAATACAAAGAGGTAGAAAACAATATTGAGATTATACATGTACGTTAAAAGCACCAGGTATACTTAAAAGAGAAAGAAACTAAAAAATTATATTTTTACACATATTCAAGAAATGTAATGTATTTCCATTTACATACAAATCACTCCACCTTTCATTATTGCATTCAAAATAACAATAATATTCACCATATCCTTCACCATCATTTCAATGTGATTGGACAGCGTTCAGTTCGGCCATAACAAATTAATTAATAGATTTTCATTCATTCCTGTCTCCCCGACCATGCATTTCTTCCCCACATACCTTAAAAAATCACGAAGTTCATTTCGTTTTGGTGATATACCTAATACACAGTCCTCGTAAACACTTTACATGTGAACATCCGCTTGTCATACGATGTGACTGATGGATTTAGGGGTCACGCTCACTGACTTGCTTGATGTACATCACTGTATCAAACTGTGTGGATTGATGCTCATCATGTCGATCACTAGATTGTCTGGTCCAGACTTGATTATTCACAGACTGCCATCGTGTAGCTGAAACACTGCTGAGTGGCACATTAAGCAACAAATAAACAAACAAACAAAACATTTACATGTGTATCACATCTATACACAGATCATTCGCAGTGTCAATGTACATTGAAAACCTTCAAAAGTTTATTTAAAAAAAGATATAAAAGTGAAAGTGCATCCCAACTCACAAAGGGACCAAAATCGTAAGCTACGCCTCCCAACTCACACTTTTGACAAATTTGATGAAAATCTAATAATTTATTCATTATAACCCAACAGACACTGTACAATGCTTATCAATTACCTCAAACCACAAATCCAATAATAGCACCTGAAAAGCTAGATGTCTAAAAATAGGTCTCTCTGGAAACAAGGTAGGAATTATCTCCCCTTATGTACATTCTCGGTTTAAATACATTGGAATGTACTCCTGTACATATACATTTCATTTTGAATGTATAAACTGTATTCCACATTGAAGACCACTGTACACTCTGACAAAAATAGTTTTAAGTGTCCAATATCATGTTAATTATTTATTGTGATGATTAACATAGTACCAAGGTACAAACAGATCACATTACCTGTAAATTTTATACAATTATGTCATAAAAGTCTGAGTTAAAATGAAGCAGGATACATGTTTTGGACAAGCATCTCAGAAACTTGTGTAACTCCTTTGAAAATGATGAATTATGATGATGATGATGACCATGTTCACAATGAGCATGTTATCTTATTTTTAACATATACTGAAAGGCAAAAGGAACATCTTAATATTGGAAATGACATTTAAGTATCAATGAAGTATTTGAACCTATCTTTTTTAAATGTACACCGGAAGTCAAGTTTGAGGAAAACATAAATCGTGGTCGTATAGCCTGTATTGCCCAATAAAGTATTGTTTGAGGTTTGAAATGTTTTTGTTTGTGGAAAGGGAAGAGTTCGCACAAACACAACATTGAAATCCAGATCCATGTGCATCATCCATGGATGTGCATCAAGCATGCATTTATGCATAAATTGCCGGCTTGAATGGCAATCGTTCACTTGTTTTCTGAACACAGCAGCTATGGCTAGGTTAACGAGAGATCAATGACAACAAGCTATTGGACGTCAGACTTGACTCCCGGTGTACATTTAAAAAACATAGGTTCAAATACTCCATTGATACTTAAATGTCATTTCCAATATTACAATGTTTCTTTTGCCTTTCACATTATATATTTTACATATCAGCAATGATTGAAATAATTCTAACAATAATTGCGTAAAATAAGCCATATGTTTAAATTTATATATATGGTAACAATTGATTTTTGTAACGATTTTTTTACATTTATTCAAAGTATAAGTAATCATAAAATATTTATGTCTCTTGGCTAAGGTTGTTAGTTGGTCCATGAACTGAGAAAGTGTTTGAGTAATGTTGATCACTGTATGTCATTGATACATAAAAGAGACAATATGTCAAAACAACATGATATAAAAACGCTTTTGTTTGAAACATTAAAAATATCAATCTTGGAACTTATAAAATATCAAAAGAGTTCCATAAAAAGTGGAATATTTGTTCAGAATAATTTTCTCCTGGAATGTGCAAAGACAAGGCAACAGTGAAGAGAAAACAGAAAATAACAAAATATCGACTTACTATCTCCATTACAACACACACATCAGGTGAGATCTGTACCTCTAGAGTTGTCTCCCTTTAAAACATTCAAAATGGTGTCATATTTGCCATCTGTATTAAGGCATCAGGTAAACAAACTCATTTTGTCAGCCATACAAACTCCCACGCACTTTGAATGAAACTAAGATGTCATCAGGATAGCTGCAACCTGTGACACTCATTCCAGATAACCTGTGGAGATTCGAACCAAGATCATCAGTAAGAGATCTTTAATCTAACTCTTTCACAACTTAACTACCTCACAACCCCTAATTAAAGTACCTATAACAGAAACCATAGACAGATTAAATGGTCTCTGCTTATAATGAGTGAAGCACTAAACTGGTTTTTCCCTTCTTCCTGGTCGGTCAGGCACCCAGTCTAAAATCAACATGTTATGTTTATTTGAGTAGGAAAATGTTTGCAAGAACCATATTTCCAACATAACATTCCATTTAAAATTGACATTATGAGGTGACTATGCATGCTACAATGCCATACTTTTTCAGACTTCGCATTTCAAGAAGCTTTTTCATTCTGATTCTTTTTCATTTTTCATTCATCTGTCAAAAGAAATAATGAGTCCAATGAAGCTGTTACTATGTGATGGAGACAGGTCCAAGGGAAACAACTCTTGGTTGCTCAGTTTACAGATTGAGTAAACCCAGCCTCTTGATGGACTGATACTGATCAGGAATCTCCATGAGAGCATGGAGGGCGAAGGAGGCGGACGGATTCTTCACGTCTTGGATCACGCTGTGGTAGTCAACAAAGTGGAAGTTGTCAAAGGATCGGGATGGAATCTTCTGGTCAAACTCGTCCATGACGTCCCAAGGGCCGTCTCCGACCCCTACCATGATGATGGAAAGAGGGTAGTGGGAGGCCTCAACGATGGCGTCAGTGGTCGCTCGCTCACTCGTCACCTGGCCATCAGCTACGATTACCAGAATGTGGAACTGGAAAGATGATTATAGAAATAAAGTACATAAAATTTAGTAAAATGGCACCAAAAAATAATTGGAATTTATCAGACATGTTTAAATGGTTGAATACACCAACACCACAAGACACACTTAAATGTGTAACTTACTGTTTTGGTTGACTTGACGATTTCAACAGACTGTTTGATAAGCGGGGCAAAGTTGGTGGGTCCACTGAGACGAACTCGAGGAGTGATCTCGTTGTATACTTTTAACACATCCTTGAAGCCGTAGCACACACCCTGTAACATACAACACAGTCTTAAAGCTGCATCACACCTTGTAACATACAACACAGTCTTAAAGCTGCATCACACCCTGTACCATATAACACAGTCTTAAAGCTGCATCACACTCTGTAACATATAACACAGTCTTAAAGCTGCATCACACCTTGTAACATATAACACAGTCTTAAAGCTGCATCACACCTTGTAACATATAACACAGTCTTAAAGCTGCATCACACCTTGTAACATATAACACAGTCTTAAAGCTGCATCACACCCTGTAACATATAACACAGTCTTAAAGCTGCATCACACCCTGTAACATACAACACATCCTTAAAGCTGCATCACAGCCTTAACAAACAACATACACTTGAAGCTGTACAACATAAGATTCATGGCACATGTAATGTCAATGAAACTGGCCAAAAGCATAAACAGGCAATCCAAGATGGAGAAAAGTCACCAAGCTTCACTGTAATACTTCACTTAACCTGACACCAAGCATTCTCCTCCCACAGAGGTTACTTGCCATATCTTCCTTGGAACCGCTGTTCTAATACGGTCCTTGGATGGTGCGAGTGTTCAGGATTCGTGATTGGTTGCAATCAGATTTAGTTGTGCAATCAGCGACATTGTTTCAAAAGTGATCATTCGCAAGGCCTCAGTAATTTCCGTATGCTTCGGGAAAACTAGAACCTCTTCCCCAGAGTGGCCACCTATATTTCCCTTACAATGTTTAGGTGACACAAACATTCAAACACATCTAAAAATTACACGGACGAATGTTGAATTTTCCATCTCAGTGTGTAGATTTTTTTCCTAAAAAAAACCCAAAATATAAATTCCCGACCAATACTTTTAAGGTGTAGATTGGAATAATTACAACAGAAGCAGGTGGTAAAGGAGACATGACAACAACGACAACAAAGCAAGGCCACTCATATTATACTATTCACTTCTCAGCATGTTATTCCTGAAAGTGAACAGGCTATGTTTAAGAAATAGAAATATTAATAAACATAAATATGCTGCATTTGATAAATAATAACGCTACTATGTTATCTGCCCCTGTGTATGTGCAAAAGTCATTTGGGAATCATAAACTTAAAATAAAACAGAGTTGCTTCCCTTCTACAATTATCCTGATATACATCTCTGCTGATATTTACGAAACAGGCAATATGTTTAACTAATTTACAAAATGTGTGGATAATGTTTAAGCAGACATTTGGGTGAACACTAAACTTATCCTTATTCTTTCTTAGAGGGATGATAATTCAGGTATTGGAGGAGAATTCAAACCCACAAGATACAGCACACAGCCTGAGAGAGACCAAGAATTACTTCCACATTTAAGGTAAATCAAGTCAATGGCTGCTACAATACTAGGGTGACTATTGATGCGGAAACAACTATTGCGACAGTGATAGTCTATTGCGACCAACTATTGCAATACTATAGCAATAGTTTTTTTCTCTCTTTGAATTGTCTCATTTGAAGTCATTTTCCAAATGAACGCGTAGTTTATATGAAATAAAGACAACCTGAAGTAGCTTCAGTCTCTTTTAGTAACTGACAAGAAACTTGAAACCCAGATCAAGTTTGTTTAAGAGGTAACAGGGGCGGATAACTCAAAGTGAACGAATCTGGTACTTCCTGCATTTTGTGCTGCGTATAACTTGCATCGTTACAGCCCTATTCAATACATTTACATCAATTGGACTTAACTGGTCAACTTTGAAACATTTTTTTTTTTCTTCTCATTCTTTCCAATGTAAAGTAGCAGTTTATACAACATCATTACCTATTGAAACCTAAATTGTACTGCCATGCCATCATGCATATCATGCTAGATCATGGCCAGATAAATGATGGTATTTTACCTTTTTGAAATTTTTTGCTTAGTTTCTACATTCCAATTTCGGGCTAGTGAATTATTTTGTGGGCTAGTAACTTTCAGGCATAGCTAGCCCGACTCGCCAGCAAAATTTGGAAACTATTTTGCACACTGATCACAATAGCATTTAAGGCAAATATTGTTTTAATCACAACCATATGCTGTCAATCATATTTTCTATAATTGGTCTTGTTTATAGGAAAACATACCGATACTTTGTTTAATAGGAAATATGACTTTGTTCAACAGGATATAGGAATTTGGCGAAGGAAATTCATCTTAATTGGGCTTTCCTATTTAATTACAGCTTTTTACTACCACAGTGTCAATATGAATAAATATTGCACAAGCTGTTCTCTGTCAACAATTTAATTACCAAAGTGCACAGACAGTATATAAAAAGCAAGTTTATTAAAGTAACCTTACTGGAACATGTTCGCAGAAACCTGTCTGAACTTATCTCAGACCTGTTATTCAAGATGGAGGTGGAGAGACTTGATACAAGGGAGACATGTGACATCCTGAGAACATGAAGCACAACACGAACAGCGTGAACACAACACCAATACCTACACATTCATCACTTACATCTGGGCGGAGCGGGAAGATGCCATGATCCCGGGTCGTCATGTCCCCGAAGCCAAACGCCGGCATCACACCCTCGTTGTCGAATGGTTCCAGGGTCTCGCCAAGAACTTGAATAACCTAATTGATAGAAAGGTTTGAGGATGGGTATGGCTTTTGGCAATTTCAGCCATGGAAAAGCTGAATAAGGCATTGGTTGCAGATATTTTTCAAATATTGCAGAATACAGCTGCAAAGCTTGTTACTAAGGCTAAGCCTAGAGAACACTCAAATCACTTCATTGGCTACAAGTCCAGGAAAGAATATTAATACTATTGAAAGACTTAAGTCTTGCCTACCAATCAGTTTACAAGATCTCCCCTCCATATCTTCAATCTCTTACTGCGTATCAAACTTCCAGAAACTTTCGTTTGAATCCCGGATGGGGCTCAACCCCAAAACAAAGTACTAGAATTTTGTACTTTACTAAGAAAGTGTAATCCCAAATATAACATATGTTAAACTTTCGTTCAGCTGATAAATTCCTGCTTTCTGTGCCTCCCTAGAGGCTGAAGACATTTGGTGCCAGATCCTTCACTCTCCTGCTGTGCTATTGAACGCTCTACCCCTTTCCTCAGATGAGTGCCTTCCTTGACTACTTTTAAATCTGACCTAAAAACCAATCTCTTTAAAAGTCAATGACAATTGTTTATCCATTTTTGTATGAGCTTAGAGCATGCCTTGTGGTGTGGAGTTCAGAGCTATATAAGTTTCCTTATTATCATTATTATTATCAGATCTTTTTTTAACATTATTGCACAAAGTTAGGAAAAATGCATTCTCATTGAGCTACAGTGATGTCAATGGAACATTGTTTATTGTGAAACACTGAAATCTCACTCTCACTCTCTTCCGACCCGTGAGGATCCGGGGTAGAATAGGTTTTCAGCAACCCATGCTTGCCACAAAAGGCGACTATGCTTGTCGTAAGAAGTGACTAACAGGATCCGGTGGTCAGGCTCGCTGACTTGGTTGACACATGTAATCGGTTCCCAATTGCGCAGTACGATGCTCATGCTGTTGATCACTGGATTGCCTGGTCCATACTCGATTATTTACAGACCGCCGCCATATAGCTGGAATATTGCTGAGTGCGGCGTTAAACTAAACTCACTCACTCACTCACTCATAGGAGATATAACAGAAATAAGGCTGCAAATGACTTGTGGCAATTTTATTGATCTTGGCGAAAGTGAAATGTGAGTTTCCTTTAGATGATAAATATTAGTCGTTTTCGTATTTGGGGGTTTTACTGTGCAATACTTGTGCGTTTACGTTTTACTTTTTCCAGAATATTGGCGTGAAAATTCAATTTAGGTGGTCTAATAGTTCTTTTTGAAATTCAACTTTACTACTTTGCAAACAATGAACAAAAAACAAATATGTTCGCCACCATATAGCTGGAATATTGCTGAGTGCGGCGTAAAACTAAACTCACTCACTCACTTTAGGGGTGAGATGAACTTACTCACTCACTTGTTCTTCTTATGTTCTGGGAAAGATGGAGCCACTCTTCCTGAACCAACACTCTCTCTTACCTTCTGGTATGGGTTCTGTTAGGGGAGAGATGGACCACTTCTTCCCCTGCCAACACTCTCTCTTACCTTCTGGTATGGGTTCTGTACAGCGACAGAGATGTCGTGCAGGCACTTCTTCCCGAACCTGTGTTAAGCCCATTTCTGGTGTCCCCCGCCGTGATATTGCTGGAATATTGCTAAAAGCGGCGTAAAACTAAACTCAGTCAGTCAGTCAGTCAGTCTTCCCGAACCAACACTCTCTCTTACCTTCTGGTATGGGTTCTGTACAGCGACAGAGATGTCATGAAGGCACTTCTTCCCCTACCAACACTCTCTCTTACCTTCTGGTATGGGTTCTGTACAGCGACAGAGATGTCGTGCAGGCACTTCTTCCCGAACCAACACACTCTCTTACCTTCTGGTATGGGTTCTGTACAGCAACAGAGATGTCGTGCAGGCACTTCTTCCCGAACCAACACTCTCTCTTACCTTCTGGTATGGGTTCTGTTCAGCGACAGAGATGTCATGAAGGCATCTTCCCCTACCAACACTCTCTCTTACCTTCTGGTATGGGTTCTGTTCAGCGACAGAGATGTCATGAAGGCATCTTCCCCTACCAACACTCTCTCTTACCTTCTGGTATGGGTTCTGTACAGCAACAGAGATGTCATGAAGGCATCTTCCCCTACCAACACTCTCTCTTACCTTCTGGTATGGGTTCTGTTCAGCGACAGAGATGCAATCTTCCCTACCAACACTCTCTCATGAAGGCATCTTCCCCTACCAACACTCTCTCTTACCTTCTGGTATGGGTTCTGTTCAGCGACAGAGATGTCATGAAGGCATCTTCCCCTACCAACACTCTCTCTTACCTTCTGGTATGGGTTCTGTTCAGCGACAGAGATGTCATGAAGGTACTTCTTCCCCTACCAACACTCTCTCTTACCTTCTGGTATGGGTTCTGTTCAGCGACAGAGATGTCGTGCAGGCACTTCTTCCCGAAGGTCTTCTTCCCCTGCTGATAGTTGCTGGCAGTGTAGTCCACACCTACAGGAACAACACATGCAAATCAGGCATTAGAACCCTGGTGAAGCTTGGGTGGATTAGTTCAGTTTGTCACACCGAAGAAATGGGCTTCATTTCCCCATATCATGTCCCTGTATACAGTGTGCAAAATAGTTTCCAAATTTTGCTCGCCACTCCAGCTAGCTATGCCTGAAAGTTACTAGTCCACAAAATAATTCACCAGCCCAAAATTTGACTGTATAAACTAAGCAAAAGATTTCAAATTAAATGAGACTATGATATTGTTGGCATGACACGGATTTCATCATAGAGTTGCTTATATGATGAACATTTTGTATCAGGCCATAATCTTGCATTATTTAAAAGTGTATTACAACTTAACAAGTCGGAGAGAGTGATATATTTGCAAAATGATCCCATGAAAATTCACTAGCCAGTCGGGCCAGTGACTGTGGAGATTTACTTGCCATGGGCTAGCAGGCCAGTGGCTATTTCACACACTGTCTGTATACAGTGTGTGTTAAGTGACAGTGGGGATAGTTGTAGTGCTGGAGTGTTAGCTTGAATAATCGGTAAATCGATTGATCTTGCTTGCATAAACAATTATTAATGAGCTCAGGAGATTAATTGATATTCATCAAAAAGCGAAATATCAAATTCAACTTCAGAAAGAATGTTTCTTATTGTTATGTTTGTTAAATCAAGACATAAACAAGCGATGCAGTTTGCTGATTCATACGATTGCAATGTAAACAACATATTCGGGTGCATGTCGCTGCAAGAAGTATCCTCGGTTGCCTTGATCGTGGTATTAGTCGGTGACTGTTTTGTTTGCAATGTTACAATTGAGTCGTGTTATTGCCCACATGAACGTTGTGGTCAGGTTTATGATTACAATAATCCAGGGGTGAAAATAACCCATTGCCCGACGTCCGAGTCCAGTGCTTTTTCTGTCGGGCAAGCAAATTTGTATATCACGCTGTACCGGTGTCCAGTTGACTTTCCAATGTTAATAATGTTGCTTATTTAAAAAATAACAAGAAAACGGCCAGTATAGTGGAAAAATGATCAGGGCAAGTGATTTTACATGTGCCACTGTACCGGAGTACACTAGCAATTTTAAAGTTATTTCCACCCCTGTAATCGATTATCGATCTACATATTGTGAGAGATAACCAGTACATGGCAGTAGTTACTGTCATTGGAAGCAAGGGACTAACATATTTGTAAAACCTGGAGTGTTGTTATGGTCAGAAGTTAACAGGAAGTGTCATTTGGAGTTACCTCCCTTAGCTTTTGACAAACACATATCACCCTGATCTTTTGAGAAAATATGTGTAAGAATGATTTTAAAAGGCTGGCTGTGTCCCTTTCACAGGTTCTAGATAAAATAAGCAGTTCTTCAGCAACCCATGCTTGTCGTAATGGGATCGAGTGGTCAGGCTCGCTGACTGATTTGACACATTTCATCGTATTCCAATTGCATAGATCGATGCTCATGCTGTTGATCACTGGATTGTCTGGTTCAGACTGGATTATTTACAGCCATATAGCTGGAATATTGCTGAGTTAAACAACCAACCAACAAATTCTTTGCGATACGGTTGCAGGCGACAAAGAAGAAATGGCGAGCCGTTATATACAAATACTATGTCCCTTACATAGTTACAACAAACAAACTTACCAAATATCAGGTTACACTTCTCAAGCCCAGCCTCCCTGATGGCGTCTCCGACCTCGCCGAGAGACTTGAACTGTTCGGACACACTCTTGATGTCTTTAGTTCGAAGCAACGTCTTGATTCTGTTTTTGTGTGTCCCATCCACCTTGTCAAACTTCCCATCATTGTAACTGGAATAAGTCCTCGATGATGTCGACGTTGTAATAGTTTCCTCTATAAGGGTTGACTTAGATGACGTCATGTCATCCTTGACAACAACGGGTTGGACGACGACCCTCCTGCGACGTCGCATACAAACAAAGTACAGCAGTATGATGATGATGACGATGATGAGAATGATGGACCAGTCCATGTTTTGCATCTCCATGATTTAAATGTAATGAATAGACTTGTCTTATGAGAATAAGGCTTCACATGGGTTGATCACCTGAAAGTAACGAAAATATATCATTTAATATATTGTGTTAACAGCATGGTAAACCAATCTGATGAATATTTAAATCATCATCTAATAAATATGCAAATTTGGTCATCTTACAGGATGATTTGTCCCATAATTTTGGACATCCGAATATAAAAGTTGATCATTATTTTGTTGTCGCTTACCACTATTTTGTACGATGGGGGGCCACTTGCTGGTAGAACAGCCAGGCAATCAACAAGCGTCTGTGGAGAAATTTCAATTTCATACGTGCAACTCGCACACCTGGCTGTTCTACCAGAAAGCAGTCCCCCCTCGTGAAAGATAGCGAAAAGTGACAACAAAATAATGATCGTTTGTTAAACAACTTTTTATTTGGATGTCCAAAATTATGAGACGAATCATCAGAGTTGGTCTGTCGATTTCATGTGACTGTCCAAAATTTGGTTTTGTTGCATTTATTAGATTTAGTGTTTGTGAGCAATTCATCGGTCTCAAATGAAATCAAACGGACTGTAACAGGAAGTAAAAATAACACTGCCTGTAACACTGATGACATAACACTGCTTGTGACACTGATGACATAACACTGCTTAAAATGCTGATGTGTAACCATGGTAACATGTGTTATTTTGATGGTGTAACTGTTCAGGTAACGGTTCAAGCAGGGAGCTTAATAGTGGACGTGTTATTTGGGAGCTTTCATTCAGCCTCATTCAAGCAAGAAATCTAAGCGCCATAATCCTCTTGACATGTTATTTGGATACATTTTCTTTGATGCTTCTTTCTTTCCTGCTGAGAAAGCATGCTTAACATTTTAAGGAAACAATTTTGTAGTTATTTTGAGATATCTTTGGGAATATTTACTGTAAAAAATTTAATGAAACACAGTTATTGCTTATATCCATGATAACGTAATAATTAAACTACATTCAGCTATATGATGAGCAATGAATTAGACACAAGAAACCCCCAACAACCCCATATATATGGAAGGCTGTCTTACTTGTTGTTAAAAGCTGCAGGAATAGTTTATCGTGTGAGCGGTGGGGTAGCCTTGTGGTTAAAGCATTTGCTTGTCATGCCAAAGACCGATGTTCGATTCCCCACATGGGTACTATGTGTGAAGCCCATTTCTGGTGTCCCTTACCATGATATTGCTGGAATATTGCTAAAAGTGGCGTAAAACTTAACTCACTCAGTTTGGTGTGCTCACTTTATGATGATTTTCAGAAGCAATCTTGTCTTATCAAGGGTCATTTTACTTAAATTTGATACTTTTTGAGTACTGTCAATACTATTCTTGGACCTTGATGGTAAAATAGCAAAATGATGCACTTTTCATCAGACAAGTTTAATAAGTACTTTGTAGATCTCGGCAAACCCTGGCACCAACTCGAACCATGGCAACATTTCCTAAAAGTTCCGCATTTTCAAAAGTGATATAAGGTACCGATGATTCGTTTTCAAATATAATGTCATGTTCTAAAATCTTTTATTTTCATGACATGTTCCAAACGTTTCACATGTGAATAATCTCCAACAAAATAGTTACATTTTAAAAAAATATGAGAGTTCTAAATTTGAGGTGTGCAGATTTTCTGCTGAGGCAAACTCAAAACCTAAATTATACTGTCAAGAATGATATGATGTAAATATTTATAAACTTCAAATACAATATACAAAACAAATATGTTTTAAAACAAACAGTCCTTTAAAAATTCTCAGATTTCAATCCCATTTAATTATGTCTTTCAACCAGTCAGATTGTAAAAGGGAGAGAGTACTGAAATATTAATTTTTGCTTGAAATTGAGATATCAAAAACACCAGTTCCATGATAATGATGTGTATAATATTTGAGCTACAAGATTTCACCTCTTGGAATGATAACACTATCGATCACCATCCAATGTTGATGTGAAGAATAATGTGTGAAAATCTTTCCACATCAGTTCATTACAAGCGTTTTATGGAAAATATACATCAATGAATATTTGCACAAGAATTATAATTAAAATATCAATTATAGCTCTGACCTGAAACTGAGAACCTGTAAAATGGCTGCAGGAATGTATGAAAATATAAAAACAATGAGTTTTGCCATATCCTGTTATGCTGACACAAGCATTGTGTCATGCTACTTGCAAACTACTGTTCACAATACACAGACCACAGAGCTTGTGAATTCCTAAGCATTGTGGGTAATGAACTCCAGCCAGCAGACGCATTAATTCGGGCATTACTGCCACTGACTGGGCATCTGGTACGTGACCCAGAGTTCAACAGCATAAACACGGTAGAAATTGCTGTTGTTTTATGAAAACAGTACTCAGGCCTCAAGACAACAGTGCGCGAAATTTACGTTGGTCCTGTGGTCCCCGGCTAGTAAAATTTCAGCAAGACCACTAAATGATATGTTTGCAGTTGTCCTGGTGGCCAGTGAATTTTGTATTGATAGTTAAGTAAATCTACGAATGTTATTTTGGACCAGTGAAGAACAGACAGGACCACGAATTATTGTCCACTCACTGGTTCTGTGGTCTAGTCGGAAATTTTGAAACGTTTCTTTCCCTGAGACAATTAACCTGTCAGTAATCAATAGGTTCCTTGAATACAGGATTTTACGCAACACATAAATATGCATCCAGTACGCACAAATGTAAAGATTGGATGCAGAAAAAATTCACTGTGTCAAGAGGGACGCACAATATTATTCACTTTACCCACATCTATAACTTTGCTGAGTGTATGGTTGTTTCTTTGAGTTACATGTCTCATTTCATCAGTCAGTCCACATGATCAATGATTCATTCCTGAGGCTCTAAGTAAATTACAAAAACATACAGTTCTCAACACCACTACTACACTGGATCCTCATACCGTCTGCATGGACCCTTAAAACTATAACAGTGGGTCCCCAGACTCCATGTTTGTGAGTCGAGGCTAAACCCTGCTTGTTAATGTAAACTATGACATATTCCTTTCGGGCAGGATGACATATTCAGACAGGTCACATGGTGTAATGACAAATTGATATTACCAGCTGTCTTGTCTTGCAACGTGTCCGGTGTATGAGAACCGGTCTAACATCCACAGCTGTCCTAAACGTAATACCTTCACGTACACATGCCATGCATACAATCAAGTCCTCCCACACACAATATCAGTTCTAATAAATCTGTACGACATGTACTCGGCTTCTATATAGCATGTACAGGCAAGAGATTCACGGCTGAATGGCTAGTTGACCCTGCTTTACAGCCAACTACACTGGTGACAGGCTGTTGTAAAAAGGAAAAGTTGGGTCAACAAAATGTCAATATCCTCTCCGCCAATATCAGGGATATCCCCTCGGTCAACACTTGGAGCAAGTTCACTTACACATAAACAAACCATCCACCTTGTCCAGTTGTACGATGTACAATTAACCTGACCCACTCAGTGAAGGCGTAATGTTAAAGATGTTGCAAGCCTATGCAGTGGGAGATAAAATATGTCAAATCCTACCACCAACTGAGTGCTTAGTATTCAGGCACAGTTCACAATAGAGATGGGTTTTTTTCATGATTCCTAATGCGACTTGGTAAATTTAGCACCTCCAGAATAGAAGGGGAGGAGTGTATGCACAAACATGGCTTAATCTCATATCCCTGATAAATCTTTTGGTGGTATCTATGAACACTGAATTTAATGACATTAACACATGCAAATTGAGAGAGTGAAGTATGTGCAAAAATGTGATTACATCTTACACCTCTGCATTTAAGTGGTATCCCAAAACATTGAATTTAACAACTAATTAATAAAATAAGTCAAAGTAGCTGATATGGGTGAATTCACAACTACTGTTTAATCTTATATTTTGCTAGTTCTATAGTGATAAAAATATAGAAGACATTTTTATGAATTTATAACTGATGACAAGTTGATAAATTGACTTATCTATTTTTTTCCCTCATTTATTTATCATGTTCATCATTCAACCAATGATTATTCAGGACAATCAGGTAATAGATATATATATGACAATCTACTAATGTTACACAGGACAATATACCGCTGGTTGTGTTGGATAATTTACGAATAGTCACAGAGGACAATCTGCCAATGTTTATGCTGGACAATCCACTTGTGGTTGCAATGGACAATTTACTAATGGCTGCATAGGACAATCTGCAAATTGTTACACAGGACAATCTGCTTGTTCATATACAGCCCAATCTACTAATGGCTGCAAAGGACAATCTACTACTGGCTGCATAGGACAATTTACTACTGGCTGCATAGGACAATCTACTAATGGGTGCAAAGAACAATCTACTAATGGTTGCATAGGACAATCTACTAATGTTTATATATAACAATCTACTAATGGTTGCATAGGACAATCTACTAATGTTTATATAGAACAATCTACTAATGGGTGCAAAGGACAATCTACTAATCGGTGCATAGGACAATCTACTAATGGGTGCACAGGACAATCTACTAATGGTTGCAAAGGACAATCTACTAATGGTTGTATAGGACAACTACTAATGGTTGCAAAGGACAATCTTCTAATGGCTGCATAGGACAATCTACTAATGGCTGCATAGAACAATCTACTAATGGGTGCAAATGACAATCTACTAATGGGTGCAAAGGACAATCTACTAATGGATGCAGAGGACTATCTACTAATGAGTGCACAGGACAGTCTACTAATGGCTGCATAGGACAATCTACGAATGGTTGCAAAGGACTATCTGCTTATGCTTGAAAAGGACAATCTGCTAATGGTTGCAAAGGACAATCAATGGGTGCAAAAGAAAATCTACTAATGGTTGCAAAGGACAATCTGCTAATGGTTGCAAAGGACTATCTGCTAACTGTTATCTAGGACAATCTATTATGGCTGCAAAGGACAATGTGCTAATGTTTATATCAAACAATCTTCTTCTTGTTGCAAAGGACAATCTACAAATAGCTGCACAGGACAATCTACGCATAGGACAATCTACT